GTACACAGTTGAAATACCAGTTGGAATTAAATGGTTGTAGAATCAACATATTGTGTTTAATTCATAGACCATAATAATTAGTTAGTTGCAATCACCCTCAAATTAGGGTTAAATATATTGCAAAGTGGCGACGAGAGATTTTTTGTTAGTTGTGTTAGTGATATTATTGTGTAATCAAGTCTTCGGCCTAATATTTTTTTTTCTGTACCTGATACAAAATGCCGGACACAGTGATAGTGCCATTTACCGGCAACATACAAGAATTCGTGCCCGGTAGATCAGATTGGTCAGTATATAAAAAAAGACTTATAAACTATTTTTCTGCCAATGATATCAAAGATGATAATCGTAAACGTGCAATCATTTTGAGCTTATTAAATGAAGAAGCTTATAAACTTTTACATAATATGTGTATTCCGGAAGAACCGGAAGAGAAAAAATTTAGTGAGTTATTAACTTTATTAGATGAACATTTTAAGTCAGTTACATCAATTTTTGCTAACCGTGAAAAATTTTTTGGATCCCGTAAGCAAGCCCAAGAAAGTCCTAAAGAATGGGCAGCGCGTTTGCGTAGTTTAGTGTCCGTGTGTGAATTTGGTGGTTCCGCGGAAATTGAGAAATCGTTAGTGAATCAATTTATAATTGGCTACGAAAAAGGTTCAGTGAAAGATCGTCTTTTTGAAGAAAAGGCCACTGTGAAATTTTTCAAAGTTTTAGAAATAGCTTCGTCCAAGTCGGCGAATCAAACTTTTTTCGAAACAGCGATAAAAAGGGAACCAGAAATTCATTTCACCGGCGCAAGCACTTCTAAGTTTAAGCATCCTACGCATGCTCATCCTTCGTCTGGTCAGCGATATGGTCGCAGCGCAGCAGGAAGAAGCAGAGGTCACCCGGTAGGATCGTCAACAAATTTTAGGTGTTCCGTTTGTGGACGCAAAAACCATCAATCAGATAAGTGTTCTTATCGTGAGTGCCATTGTCATATTTGTAACAAAAAAGGTCACCTGGCTCCGATGTGTCCAAATAAAAATAATTCCAATAAATCGAACAATCGTGATAAAAATAATTTTTTAGATTCCGAAGATTATTGTTTGTTTAATTTATTTAATTTAGAAGAAAAGTCAGATTTGGTTTTAATAGATTTATCGGTAGAACAAAAAATGTTTACTTTTAGTTTGGACACAGGAGCTAGTTATTCTGTAATTTCAGATAATTTTTATTCTAAAAATTTTAGCAATAAATTTTTGCAGCAAACTACAAAGGTTTTCCATGTATATAACGGGGATAAAATTATACCTTTAGGTTTTATTACTTGTGAAATCCTGTTCAAGGGAAAATATGGTACTTTAAATTTCTTTGTCATAAAAAATGGTGGACCACCCTTGTTAGGAAGAGATTTCTTTAATCTTTTTGATTTAACTATTTTTAATTTAAATGAACTTGCCATTCCAGTGGAAGTTAATTATTTAGTTGATAAATTTCAAACATTATTTTCACCAGGATTAGGTAAATTTAACAAAGGATTAATTTCTATTAAATTGAAATCTGATATTTCAGTTAGTCCCAAATTTTTCAGAGCACGTCCTTTGCCTTTTATGATGAGAGAAAAGGTGGAAAAAGAACTTGATAGACTGATGGAGTTGGGGATTATTGAACCGGTAGATTTTTCGTTATGGGGAACTCCTATAGTTCCGGTATTAAAAAAAGATGGTTCGGTTCGTTTATGTGGCGATTTTAAAGTAACCTTGAATCCTTTTATAGAACTTGATTCTTACCCCTTACCTAAAATTGATGATTTATTTAGTAAATTAACTGGAGGTGTTCATTTCACGAAACTTGACTTATCAAATGCTTATCAACAAATATGTTTGGATGATGAATCAAAAGAATTGGTAACAATTTCGACTCATAAAGGGTTGTTTCGGTATAATAGAGCACCGTTTGGCATTGCAAGTATACCTGCAAAATTTGAAAAAATAATAGAATCGTTGTTACAAGGGTTAGAGGGCGTTGTCTGTTTTTTAGATGACATCCTGATTACGGGAAAAACCCGGGATAAACATTTAAACCGTTTAGGAACCGTCCTTTCTCGTTTACAAGAAGCAGGATTAAAATTATCAGTAAAGAAATGTGATTTTTTTAAAGAAAAAATTACCTATCTAGGATATGATATTGACAAGGAGGGTTTACATACGTCAGAGACAAAAATTTCAGCAATAATGAATGCACAACCCCCCACAAATGTTATTTCTTTACAATCATTTTTAGGTTTAATAAATTATTATGGAAAATTTGTAAAAAATTTATCTACATTATTGCATCCACTTTATAATTTATTAAAAAAAAAGTCAACTTGGTGTTGGTCTGTTCAATGTCAGCAATCTTTTGAAAATGTTAAGAACATTTTAGCGTCAGCACCGGTTTTAGTGCATTTCGATCCTGAACTACCTTTACGATTAGTTACTGATGCAAGTGATTATGGAGTAGGAGCATTAATTTCCCACAGTATGCCAGACGGCACAGAAAAAGTGATAGCTTATGCATCGCGAACCTTAATAGATAGAGAGAAAAAATTTGGTATTTTAGAAAAAGAGGCGCTAGCGGTTATTTTTGGGTTATGCAAATTTCATAACTATTTATTCGGAAAAAAATTTACTTTAGTAACCGATAATAAACCTTTGTCCTATATTTTTCATCCAAATAAAAAAATACCGGAATATTCCGCAAATAGGTTGCGCAGATGGGCAATAATTTTGTCGAGTTATCAATACGACATTGAAGTAGTAAAAAGTGAAAATAATCCTGCAGATGTTTTGTCCCGACTTCCTCAACCAGTGGAAGAGAATTCCGTGGAAAATGTAGATTTCAATTATATAGACATTTTTTCTATGAACGAAAATATTCCGATAAATTTCGAGAAAATACGGCAAGCAACGGTAAAAGATAAAATATTATCAACTGTTGTCAAATTCGTAGAAAACGGTTGGCCTTTAAATAAAAAATTTGAAAAGAATGATGATTTTAAATATTTTTATAAAATTAAAAATGAATTATCGATTGAAAATGACTGTTTAATTTGGAACAACAGGATTGTAATACCTGTTAAATTACAAGCAAATATTTTGGAAAGTTTGCACTCTACACATATGGGTGTGGTAAAAATGAAAAGCTTAGCGCGATCGTATTTCTGGTGGCCCAATTTAGGTAAAAAAATTGAAGAAATATGCAAAACTTGCGAAAATTGTTTAAAAAATAAAAATTCTCCAGAAAAAACCATTGTTCAATCTTGGCCTTGGCCTGAACAGCCATGGGAAAGACTTCATTTAGATTTTATGGGTCCTTTTTTAAGTAATTATTTTTTAATAATTTTAGATGCTCATAGCAAGTGGATTGAAGTTTTTCGTATGACTTCAATAACGTCATCGCAAACAATAGAGATATTACGATCTTGTTTTGCCCGATTCGGTTTACCTAATAAAATCGTAACTGATAACGGTACTTCATTTTGTTCATTAGAATTTGAAAACTTTCTAAAAAATAATCATGTTTTGCATATTACTAGTCCTCCTTACCATCCTTCCTCTAATGGGGCAGCAGAGAACGCCGTTAAGACAATTAAAAATGCTCTGAAAAATGCACTTGGGAAAAGCTCTAATATTAACATTAATTTAGCGCTCAATAATTTTTTATTTGATTATCGTTCAACCCCACATTGTACAACAAATGTAAGTCCGGCGAAATTAATGTTAAAAAGAAATTTACGCACTCGTTTTGATATACTTTTACCTGGTGATCAAACCAATTTGAGAAATCATATATCAAAGGTACAAGAAAAACAAAAACTTCATTCTAGTGGTAAAAGGTTTTTAGTGTTCGAGCCAGGTGAACAGGTGACTGTGCGCGATTATCGAAGAAAAAATAAGGTGGAATGGATAAAAGCCACTGTTGTCAAAAAAATTGGGAAAGTTACATATATTGTTAAAATTCCAGAATTGCAAGACACAGAATGGAAACGTCATTTGAATCAAATGAAAAAATTTCATATCGTGGAATCTTCACTTCCATTAGTGTCTCAAGCAGATGATTCAAATGAAGTTTCTAGTGTAAATAATGATGTACATAGTGATGTAAATAGTAGTTTAGGTGCTAGTAGTAGGCCCAAAAGGGTGGTCAAACCAGTGAATCGTTTAAATTATGATTAACTTGGTAGATTGTAAATATTGAATTTAAGGTTATTACTTCTATTTTTTTTTTGAGGGGGAGATGTGGAATATCTAATATAATTATTTCATATTATTTTATAGGTTCAAATTGTTACACCCTGTAAATTTAATTTCTTATCTTGTAGAGACATTTTTATATTTTGTACACAGTTGAAATACCAGTTGGAATTAAATGGTTGTAGAATCAACATATTGTGTTTAATTCATAGACCATAATAATTAGTTAGTTGCAATCACCCTCAAATTAGGGTTAAATATATTGCAGTATGGATATAGCAATTGTTTTCGAAGCACTTTATGAACGACATCCTTACTTACTCCTAGTTCCCTTTCAATTCGTCTGGTGCTTAATTCTGGATCTTTTTCAACACGTTCAACACGTTCAACTGCAGGAATCCTTACAAAACGTTCTCTTCCATTATCAACAGTGTTGGGAGCAAAGGAACCGGTTTCCCGAAGACGTCTCTCAACAGCAGCATAAGTTGGGTGGCTAGGTACACGACGATTTGGAAACCAAATACGTGATTTGGTCAATAGAACAATAGAAAAAAAAACAAGACCGGTAAAACAATTAAAAAAAAACTCTATCTGGCAAAAGCAAACTTACTGGCAAATTAATTGATAAGTTAACAGTTTATTATGGCCTAGCTATTAGAAGAAACTGCTTTTTGGTGCAAAATATGAGAGACGCTATATGGGCAACTTATTTTCATTACATCTCCACAGACAAAAATTCACAGCCCTGACTCATGGTGCACTTGGCAGTGTGATTCAGCAATGAACACTCTTTCATCATACAAACACGACTACGGTCCATTACCAAGTGAGGTTTCATCAGCTATCAAGCCTATTTATGAAGAACTCAGCAAAGAAGAGCTCTTGGAGAGATGTGCTGGTGGCTTTACGCAAAACAATACTGAAAGTTTAAACCAGTTAATTTGGAAAATTACTTCAAAAATACTTCCTGCTGGTTCAAAAATAGTAGAGATTGCTGCTTTTGTCGCTGCTGGCACTTTCAACGAAGGAGTCTTAGATTTGTTGCTTTTTATGCATGGCATGGACTTGATGCTTGCCCGAAACAGTCACGAGTATGCCTGAAAAGAAGATGAGAACCGCATACTCATTGCCGAGAAGAAAGCTGACGCTGCGACTCTTGAAGCAAGAATTCGTCACAGGCAAAAGCAAAATTATGCCCTGGATATTGCTGCAGCAGCAGGTACTTTGCTTTATGGTACCGGAATCGATGATTCTATGTAAGTTAAAAAAAATTTTTTTTTTAGTTATTTCAGTTTAAAACTTTAAACGCGTTTATTTCAAAACTCAATGTTTTAAGTCAGTGGACACGATTTCTTGAAAAGTTATGTAGCGATTTTGTTTAAATAATTTTGCACACATCTTGGAAATAACATTATCTAGTCATTGCACAAAGGATTTTTTTTATTGCCACTAATTTTTTCGAGCCAAAACATGGCGAAAATTTGACCAAAAAATGTGTTTTTTGTTCAAAGTCTGTTAAAAATCAAAATTAACTTTTTTTTCCTACCCCCAATAACGAGATTTATTTATGTACTAACGAAATATTTTTGGGTTTTTGATTTTAGATGAACCAATAATGAATTATGCTCTCCTCGGAAAGAGCATTTTTCTTTAAGACGTCAAGGGAGATGAGGAAATTTTTAAACAAAAATTTTACAAAATACTTTTTAAATATGTATCTTTGATATGCTGAATTATTTAAATAAAATATATGATTGTATATTAAAAAAAAAAAAAAAGAGAAAAATATCCTTTTTTTGATTCTCTGAAACCCACCTAACCCCTTAAGTTAGGTTATAACAAAATTACTCATTGATCAACTTTTGATTAGTTTGTAATATTAATAAACGCCCCTTTTAAAGTGTTTTTTCACAAAAAAATTCATTTTTTTTTACAAGTCATCAACTATAGCGTTTAGTTCGTCTATTTAATTTTTTACTCCACCCTATACTTTATTTTTTTTTATCATTTCTACTTCCGTTAATTCTTTAAGATACCACTTTATAATATATTCAACAATTTTAGTAATAATTTTTTTTTGATAAATTAAGATTAATAAAGAATGCTTATTCCCCAAATTATGCAGTTTTTCATTTAAATATTTTAGAGTGTCAAAAATGTTTTGTAGATTATAATTTTACAGACACATCGGTATAAATTTTATTTAAAATTGATTGTGTTTTGACCAGTTTAATTTGTATTTAATTACGAAACTATTTTATATCTATAGAGGTGACACTGGTCATACTTTTAAGTAGAAACTCATGCTCTGTTTATAATTTTATTAACGTTAAAAAAAAATTATTTTTTTCATCAGTAAAATAAAAGACAAGTAGTGTGACTCATATTTATCACTAAAAATGTTGGTCTGAAATAGTACCTTCTTTGTTATACGTTCGTTTTATTATTTTGGTTGGGTCAATTACATAATAAAGTTGTAACTTCACATCATGATATCTTGTGCAATATACCTAGTAAGCCAAGACTATCCATTACATCTCTACGTATTGTATAATATGATTTCGATTTTCTGTTAATGAAAAATAGTAAAACAAGAGATTTTGGTATCAATGTTATTTTTGATTATTTTCTAAGGCTTTGATTTTTATAAAAATATAACAATTTCATAGAAATTACACATTTTTATTTAATTTTTTAACCATTATTGCTATTTTAAATCAACAAAGCTATTAATTTCACGTATATTGATTTATATAGATCTACTTTATAAATTTTAGTTAGAATTTACTTACCTCAGTTGCCGATTCTTGAGAAGAAAGATGTTTGGAATATTAGAGAAGCCACATATTTTATATAAATAGTCTGATTTTGCAGTTGATGTTTTAGTTAATTAATTGTTAATAAATATTATCAATTTAAAATAGTGTATTACTCTTTAACATTTTTTTAAATAAATAATCGTTATATTACTTTCTTGTAAAACAAATTAAATATACTTGATTTTTTTCAATAAATTTGTGCATTAGCATCTTCATTCGTCCAATAGCTTTTTACACTTTTACTGGTTCACGTAATTCGGTGAACAGTACGAAATTATTCTCTTAGGAAAGGCTTTATTGCTTCATCATTTCTACTCTTTTATTTCCACTTGAATGTTACGGTTTTCGTGGTTAATCTCCATCGTAGAAATTTACGATTATTTTAGTGTTTTGGTTCTGTGTTATGGCAGTCGTGATATTAATGGGAAATTATTTTCTTAATTGGAATTTTGGGCCGCTATTTTGAACATGAAATTATAAGGAAAGCTTATTTTCATTCATAAAAGAATTGGGCAGAGTTTAAAATTATAAACATATTATGCTTTATCTATTTAGGTACCTACCCAAAGGACATATTTAATATCCGTTTTACTCTAGAATTATGGAAGCTACTAATGACATTATTAAAATATATTTTTTAATAAATATTATCCTTATAAAAACTATCACAAATCAGAATGGCCAAAATTTTACCACGTGATCCATTTATATTAAAATTATTCAAATTTGTACTATGTATCTATCCATTGCCTACCTACTTTTTGCCAAAAAGTTACATGACGCGTTCTTCTTCCTCTTGGACCAGTAGGCTCTAGATTAATTTATTTATATTATTTTTAATTTTTGCAGTAACTTTGAAGATCACAGCATTTTTAAATACAGAATGTAGATACCTTTCAAATTAGGTATCAAAAGCCCTTACTTCTATTTATATATTTTCACTTTTTTTTACAATCTAACCATTATGCCTTTTGGGATTTTTTTATAAATATTCACAATAATTGAGCAACTGAAATAATTCGATTTGACTGATATACACTGTATAATTTTATATTAAATTAGAAGTAAAAAACACGGTTATATATCTACTATTTGAAGATAATAATCCCTACTTAGTATACTGCTTAAATTTACATAAAGGGCTCTATATTATAGAAGTATAAAATAAACATCAAGAGGTAAATTTAATAGAGAAATTGTATTCACAAGATTTCAGATTTCAGGAATCCTGGAAAACCTCCGGGACTTCCAGATGAATTCCATAGTACCTTAATATTTATGAAACAAAAAAAAACTCTTGTATTAGAAAATAATGTAATTAATTAACCGCTTATTCCTAGCGTAGAATCTTTAGTGAAAGTTCCTAAAATAATGTCTCTATAACAAACAAGATGGGACATTCCTGATATATTCAAAAAAATTGAATGAAATACCGAATACCAGCAAATCGAAAACTGTCCATAAAACATTTCCAAGCGAACATCAGTGTCCTCCTGGACTGTTAGCTCTGCGATGTAAAGACCAAAGATCCTAAAAATGTGTAACTTGTAAACGTTACTGCGTTGACCTGTGTGCGAGATTATTTGGAATCATATAAATTGACATCATATTAATATTTGTCACAGGAAGTAACAAAAAGAAAGTACAAAAGATGTTTATCCAACTGTTACTGCAAGTATTGCTGCGCACATGAAATTTTAGTTGTGCGAGGGATGTTAATGAATATGATAAAATTTTAATATCTATGGGATATTTCAGTACAGTTTTGAAAATATATCAAGAAAAGTCTATAAAAAAACGTAACACAAAATGTTAAATGCTTAGTAGGCAGGATATAATACTTCATAAAGAAGCAAATACCTTTCTTAACAATCTGAACGAAATAAATTTAAAAAAAAAACAAAAAAAATATATGGTAGGTGAATACAATATCGCCAATCTAAAAATAACAACAAGATAGTTCATATCTTGGAAGGTTTGGTTTCTGAAAGACAAATGGCGCTTGGGGTACTTTCCCAATAGTAAAACAATTTCAATTTATGGTGAATTCTAACCTCACATTTTCGTTTAGCAGTTGGTTTCCCATCTAAACTGCTTTGCCACCACCATCACCACCACCACCGATGTAAGCGATTACTCGTGATATTTATTTGATATTTCAAAGATTGTGCAGATAAGTGCTTTTTTTATCAGCAGTAGTTTTTAGTAAAGAATGAGCTATCAACTAATGGTAGATATTTAAAAATCGTATGTTTTTTTACCGAAGTAAGTAAAAAACAGTAGAAATATGCGCGTTTTTGTAATACCGCCAAAATAACCGCGTAGCAATATCACCAATGGCGATATTGCCACTCATGAATATTTTTCATATTTTCTTGAATTAATACTAAAGAATCGTTCATTATTTTACAGAATCATCATGAATAAATCAAGAAACCGAGGTATCAGAGGAAAATGGTCGGAAGAAAATATGCAGCGTGCCCTAGCAGCAATTGGAAATGGCGTGTCTGTGCATTCATCAAGTAAGGAATTTTTGGTTCCTCGTAGGACCCTGAGAGACTACTTACGTAACCATTAAACAACAAAATCTGCCATGGGTCGCAAATCAGTTATTATTTAGAACAAGAGGAAGATTTATGTGGAAGAATAATTCGTTTGGTAGAAGTAGGCTATCCCTTAACTTCGAAAGTTTTTCGGCGATGCGTGTTCAATTTTTGTGAGACCAACCAAATTCAAAATTCGTTTAATAAAGTTACAAAATTGGCGGGCTGATACTGGCTAAAAGGTTTTCTCAACAGGCATCCGAATATTAGGAATCGGAAAGCTCAAAGTATAAATAGGTTTATTGTAAGTGACCATTTTAAAAAATTGGGTAAAATTCTTGCTAACATGGACATCATGGACAGGCCTGAGCATATCTACAACATGGATGAAAAAGGTTGTCGGTTAGCATTACACCACCAACAAATGGTCTTTGCAAAAAAAGGAGCAAAGCGTGTGCACCTTGTGGCAAATAAGCATGGACAAAACGTCACAATAATATCTTGTGGCAATGCCCTAGGTTCTGCGATTCCTTCCTTAATTTTATTTAAAGGAAAAGGGATGGAGCGTGTGTCATCTGGATTATTCTATTGTCACGGTCGCAGAAGAGTTGACTATAACGTTATATTACTTGCCAAGCAATACAACGCACGAACTACACCTTATGGATAGGTCTGTATTTCGCTTATTTGAACACTATTGGGATGACGAATTTCTTAAATACTGGTCAACATATAGGGA